TATGACCTTTTCTAGATATTCCTTTCCCGGCTGGGACGCTTTTTATCTCGTCTCTGAGCATGCACTGACGTCCCTTCAGTGAGTCACTGTGCACTGAAGCCAGGATAAAAGAGGCTAACCCTGAGTTTGTAGGGGATACTTGTGCAATTCTAAATAAATAAACAAGTAACATGGCTTTTGGAAAGAGAAAAAAAGGTAGGCTGAACAAACACAAAGAGCCCACATATTTTAGTTCCTCGGGTTAATATTTTATTATGTGATCCACATTTAGTAGGACATACTTTTGGATGTATTCTTCCGCTATAATTATTTATTTTATTTCTTTATTGAACAGGGGATAGATGTAGGCTATCACAAAAAAAGTTCAGGATACTTATTTATTCTTATGCACACTTCATATTTTACACAATATCTTGTTCTATCAAATATTTCTTGTTTTACTGAATGTAAGATCCAGTGTTCTTGTCTACTTCTTGTACATAAACGCCGACCATACATTAAAAAATTCAACCAAAACTGAACATTAAGATTAATTGTGCCTTTTTGTAAATAAAATCAAAGAGCTACCAGTCACAATCTGTATTAATAGTGATAGGGTGACAATATATTAATTACCAAAAACCAGGACAATTGGCCCGGCAAACAGATACTCAAATGATACTCGAAGTTTACTCAAAGACGCCTGATTCATTTCAATATATTTAAAGTACGCTATGCTTGTATGGATAGAAATTTGTTATATTACAAGACACGAATTCAGATGGGTGAAAACAGGACTATTGGTCATCCTAGATAGTGATTTACCACATTGAATGTGCTTACTGATATCAGGTAGTAAAATATAAAAAAATGAATATAGGCTATAATCAAGGGTATTTTATGTAATCTATTGCAGTTTTTTTCCTCAATTCACAATACGTTTTTTGTTCAAATCAAATTTAAATTTCTTGATTTGAGCAAATTGCATGTGTTTTGGCACATATCTTCAAAAGAGTAAGTACAATTGTCTAATTTGCACAATACACATAGCATGTTTATTAATACTGATGAGTTGATTCTCAGTGAAATTGTCAAACTCTTCACAACTTCTAAACATTCTTTCATCGTGTGAGCCTTCACATGCAAAACAATCTCAGATGAAAATCTGTCAGACATATTTCATATATATTCATGACATGGAAGGTTTGTAATATTTTATAAATTGGCAAATGGCCTTCAGTTGTAATGAACATGTCACGGATGGAACAGGAGACTGACAGGTGGTAAGTGAAATAGTGTTTGTTTACAGGTTGCAGATCCAGACAGAGATATGGTGAGAATGCAAGCAGACAATATTCAGGATGGAACTTAGCTGAAGGATAACCAAAGTCTTTGTTTACAGTTGTGGATGGAGAGTCACTGGGAACACGGTGACGATCCGCTTGGTCCTTGTGCCTCCGCACTGCCTGCTGGAGGTGCACGTGAGCCGAGTCCCATTCCCTCTTGCTCTCCCTCTTGGAACCAGTAATTGACAGCTGGAACCTCAGAGGGCTCACCCGATCAAGGGTAGAGTTTATAACCAGAGACACACTGAAAGGGGGTGAGCCCGTGGTGGATTGCCAAAGGGAATTCTGGGCGTACTCTGTCCAGGGAAGGAGCCGGCTCCAGCTGTCCTGGTACTGGTGGCAATAGGTCCTGAGATGTCGTCCGATCTCCTGGATCTTCCGCTCAGTCTGGCCGTTTGTCTGAGGTTGGTATCCAGAAGATGAGCTAACAGTAACACCGAGGAGTCTGAAGAAGGCTTGCCAAACCCTTGAAATGAACCGTGGACCTCTGTCCAACACTATGTCCTAGTGTCCACACTACGTCCTACTAGGGCATAGTTTCGAAACACAAGATTTGAGAGGGCCTCTGCGACCTCAAACGCAGTTGGAAGTCCAGGCAATGGGATCAGCTTGCAAGCCTATGAAAAGCGATCCACAACGACGAGTGTGGTTACTGGATTGGGTAGGTCCGTGATGAAATCAATTCGGAGGTGGGACCACGGCCGTTGTGGGATAGGAAGTGGCACGGGTCTGCCCTCCGAGAGTTTTCTGGGGGTGTTAGGCTCTGGTAGTGAATCTTCGGTTGAAGCATGATGAAGATGAGAGAGAGCATCCACTTTGCAATTCTTGCTTCCACACTCTTAAGAAAAGGTTCTATATAGAACCTTAAAAGGTTCTATCAGCGCTACATATTTGGAACCCCTAAAAAAAAGGGTTCCTCTGGGTTCTATATAGAACCCTGGGGTTCCATACTTGGCCAATAGAACCTTTTACCAAAAAATGGTTCTATATAGAACCATTTTGGAGTTCCATATATGAAGCGGGGGATGGAACCATTTCTGGTTGTAAATAGAACCATTTCTTCTAAGAGTGCAGGTCGGTATGACACGGTAAAATCAAAGCGAGTAAAGAAGAGAGCCCATCGAGCCTGACAGGGATTCAGCCTTTCGCTTCTTTGAGGTATTCAAGTTTGCAATGATTGGTTATAACCTCAAAATGGTGATTAGCTCCCTCAAGCCAATTCCTCCATTTCTCTAACATCAGCTTGATGGCGAGCAGCTCCCGATTCCCAATATCATAGATCCGCTCCACCGGGGACAGCTACATGGATGGAGCTTGGGAGGATCACCCTGCCGCTGTGATAGAACTGCTCCAACTTAGTTAAGTCGCCAACTGCTTGCTAAACACATCCTGGAATGCCCTATGTTATACTCAACAGGAATCTCCTGGTGATGGACCTCCGGACTTTGAATGGACGTGGAACACACAGGAAACTCGGACTTTCCCACAGAAGATGAAGAGGAGGCTTTCTGGACCTTCTCAACCGAAGCTAGACAGGAATGCGAGCAGTCTTCTCCCCAGCGAATGACCTCCGCGGATTGCCAGACGATAATGGGTTGATGTTGGACCATCTAAGGTTAAATTTATGTAGGAGTTGAGAGGAAATGAAGTTCCCCGCCCAGCCGGAGTCGAGGAGGGCTTGTGCTGAGACATATATAATGGAGGTTAACAAATGAACAGTTGTGCAGTTCAAGGTTGAAATCTAATGAGGAATCTGAATGGTGCTTACCAAGGTCGAATTGGGCAGGAGTTGATGAAATGTTTATCACCCCACAGTAGGCTATAGACAAAGACGCTGTTGAATTCTACACTACCGCCCTGAAGAAGAAAGATGAGCGGAGTCAATCTGCATGGGCTCGGGTGCTGGAGGGGCGACTGATGGAGTCGAGGACTGAGGACTTACAGCGGTTTCTAAAACATCACAGAGAGATAAGCATTGAGATGCTCGAATGGTTTTCTGAATGAGGTTTTCAATTCCCAAGGAATCCTGATATACCACCACCAGCTGACGGATGTTAGGGTTGAGACCATGTCAAAAAGCTGTCAAAGCTGTCTCATTCCAACCACTAGAAGCCGTCAGCAGGCAAAATAGATGGGCATATGTACTCACTGAAGACTTTCCTTAACGAAGGTTGAAGAGCTGATCGTGAACAGGGAGATTGGAAACTGTCTGACCAAACACTTCATTGAAATGCTGAATGAAACTTGAAAGGGATTTAATTGCAGGAGAATCTGAGTTCCAGAGAGATTGGGCCCATTGGAGAGCTCTGCCGGACAGCAGGGATATAAACGCCACTCGGGCTGAAACGTTAGAGAATTGATGTGCCTGCATTCAGTTTACAACGTAACACAGTTTTGCAAAAATAAATGTAAAAACTAATTATTTTGTGTATGACAGTATTGACTTTTCCCAGTCAATTTTCACCTACTTAATAAATCTGTATTTAAAATACTCAATGTGATATACAGACAAAAAAAAGTATTTAAAAAAACATGACATTTATTTAGAAAATATTTCGATGCTAAAAATGCATTTCATTGACACTATAACAGATTAAATGTTTTAGGTGAGTAACTACATATTGCAGACATGCAAGAGTTCTAATGTCCAGGCAAACATTTGCACTTACAGTTTAGAGAATGTTAAGACCGTTTTGAAAAACGTGCCAAAAAGGCGACTGAGAAAAACTGTATAAAATTTTGAGATGTAGTCAGTCTGCCTGTTTGGACGGTAACATCCTATAATGATGCAAATATGTTGAAGGATCTCTATTTTTAATTGTCAGGGGCTAAAAGAAAGCAGGTGAATCATCAGAGCTGAATGAGTGTGCTCAGACGGCTTAGTTTCATGACCAGCCTGTGTCTCTGTCCCTTTGCGAGTTACCCTAAATATTTGTTTTATTCAGTGCCAAGCCTCCAACATAGCCTATCTCTTTGCCATATTACACACACACACCACTTAAGACCAGCTTTAACTGTAATTTCAATTCACATTTTTCAGTCTTAGCACATCACCTGTTTGCCTGATGTTCAAATGCATCACAGTGCTGAAATAAAGCAGGTATATCTTCCTAACAACACACCTGTTGTCTTTGGATTTGGCGAATTGTTGTAAACATGAGGAGATCATAGCGCATTCACTCTTTCTTCGCTGCAAATGAGAACGCTGAGCCAGAATGGTGATAGTTAGATGTTTAAATGCTATGAGAGTGTTTGTTCTGAACATTAACACACACTGAAATTACTGTAAAGGATCTCACCACCCTCTCTTTTTCCCAGTGCCGAAACAGTCTTACGCTCAGTCACCCTGCAGCAGCCCACAAGTCACAGCTGTGAAAAATCAGGATAGGGCTAAAAGCCTTGAAGTTGCTGTGATCACGACAAGCTCTGAACGGCAGCATCAGTAATGATTGCAACACCACATATAGGTGTATGTGGAAAATGTCAGATAGATAGATAGACAGACAGATAGATAGACAGATAGATAGATAGATAGATAGATAGATAGATAGATAGATAGATAGATAGATAGATAGATAGATAGATAGATAGATAGATAGATAGATAGATTTTGCTCAAAAATGTAACATTCTGTCAATCAAATGTGCCATTTATGACGGGAAATAGGAACAGAAGTGGAGTCAAACCCGCTGTAACTGAACCAGTGACGGAACCCGCATTGCATCACAGAATCAATTCCTGGCCAGTGCACGCGCCCCAGGCTCTGCCGGCTTAATTACTCCTTTACCTTTCAACGCGTGCTGTGCACACTAATCGGAACCGTTTAAGTGATGCATTAACACCGTCAAGTAGCCTATGTGTTAAGGAAAGCGCTCGCTTTTTTCTGTTTCTTTTTTTTTCTTTTTTCTTTTAAGTTTAGCTTCCAGTCTGAGGCGAATTCAAAGACGAGCGAGAGGCATCAGCAACAGGGCACTGACAATTCACCGGCGTGGACAATTACACAGAAAGTATCTCGATCATCAATCGAGCAATTGGTACCGAACATCACGGACGTCATTACTGGATATTGATTGCGTTGCTCTAATTGTGTGGAGATTTCTTAACATTTTTTGCGTCATTAAATGGAGCGGCGTAGGTGACGTTTGGACTGTTGCGTTCGAGAGGAGCTCTTACTCAAGACTAAAAGCCGGCGCGGAAAAATGTAAGTAGCCGCCACAGACGAAATAGCAACCTGTTAAGGTGTCCAATATTGCTGCTGATAAACTGCGCTGTTAAAGCGCGTCAGAAGTCATTCAAATGCCATCAAAACAATCTGTTTAAAGCTTTTGCCTGTCATTCTTATTCCGAAGGACATTTAATCGACGTGGTTATCTTGTGGGGCTCAAGGGCACAGTGTTATTCGTGCAGGGAGTTGAAAATAGCCTAGGCTACGTCTGATTTTCTTGTCTAGATCCGCTAACGAGGATAAATAGGCTTAATGTAAGATGATGTCTTAATATCTCTTTCAAGAAACCCAGTGGAATCAGTCGTTTATGCTTCTAGATCCAATGTCCCTTCAAGGTCCTTTCTTATGTTGGAGGAATCTGAAGAGCAAATGGAAAAAAATGTATATTGCATCCACATAATTCAAAACAGAAATCAATACCTTCACCTCTGCATTCATCTTAAAGGACAAATTCACTTCACAGTTCAGAAGTGGGCACAATCACATAACTTGGAGAGAAACTTTATCTTCTTAACTTGTTTGATGTGGCATCATTTAGAGTTGATAAATCAATTTTGATACTAAATTTAGCAAATCTACGGCAGCTGTGTTTACTAACTTTACCATAAAATACTCTTGACAATATGCATGATGGCATTGATTTTGGTGACCATATTTCACAACTCCTATAGTGTGTGTCATTAAATGTTATAATTTTATTATGCCAGCCTAATTATTAAAATTGTTTTGTTTTTGTTTTTTTACAGTAAATGGTGCTGATAAGATTTAGATAAGACACATTATGACTTGAAGTTCAGCAACATTGCCTCTCCAGCACCAGTGACTAATAATAACTTAAAGACAGAGAACAATGTTGCCCACACAAACACAAAACACCATAAAGGAAACATGACACTAATGTAATGAAGTAAACATTATAACTAAATTACAAAAAAAGCTACTTAAACACCTCAATGCACATAACTAATAGCAAAAACAAATGTGATTGATCATAAAGGGAATGCATGAAATGCCCCCTTTCATCAAAATATATAAGACAAATAAACATTAAATGTACAATCAATTTATAGCATTTATCCATTCTTTTTTCTTAAGATTACAAAAAAACAAACACAGTTCCATGCTAAATTTATTCACACTTAACTTTTGAATGGTCTAAAACCATTTTATTGCAGGCCAGTATTGAGCATGCTGTTGAGTTGAATGCATACCACGTCTTATTCCCTGTCTGGGATGGTAATGTACATGCATGTATATCAACCCTTGTTTCACACCCCCTATCGACGTCTCGGTTTCTCACCCATACCCTTTATTTAAATAGTCAATGAGGAAGATGTTCTTTTTAACTCTTCTGGGCTTCCACGTTTCATTAAAACATTACTGAAAGTTTTGTGGAAGATGCATCGATTTGGGTCAGTGTGCGCTGAGGGCGTTGGAACACCCAATTCAAAGAAATATGCTGTGGGTGAGGATGCTCACCTGTCCAAATCATATTTGTATGATGTGTGTAGCCAATTGAAGATGGTTTGCACAATGCAGTCTGATGTGCAGGTATAAAGAAAGAAATAACGTCTCATGTTTATTTACTTAATAATCTGAAAAAGATTATGGTCATCCAAAAATGAAAATTGATATCCAAACCGTTCTTTCTTGGAACACATACACTATACACACACACTCACTCACTCACTCACTCACTCACTCACTCACTCTCTCTCTCTCTCTCTCTCTCTCTCTCTCTCTCTCTCTCTCTCTCTCTCTCTCTCTCTCTCTCTCTCTCTCTCTCTCTCTCTCTCTCTCTCTCTATATATATATATATATATATATATATAAGGTCTGTCAAACGATTAATTGCGATTAATCGCATCCAAAATAAAAGTTTGTGTTTACATAATATATGTGGGTGCACTGTGTATAATTATTTTGTATATATATATATACACACATGCATGTATATTTAGGAAAAAAAAATTATTTATATATAAAATATTTATATTTATTTATAATATAAATTATATATAAATCTATATACAGTGTATATATGAAAATATTTCTTAAATATATACAAGCATGTGTGTGTATTTATATATATAAAATAATTATACACAGTGCACCCACATTGTGTAAACACAAACTTTTATTTTGGATGCAATTAATCGCGATTAATCGTTTGACAGCCCTAATATTTGACAGCCCTAATATAAGAACATTGAGGTCCAAACAACATGACACAATAACATGGATTAAACATTGGAACCCACCCAAAACTTTTTTATTTTTCAAAATATCTTCTTTTATGTTCCACAGAAGAGAGAACTTAAAGAGGACACGAGGGTGAGTAAAGGATTACAGAATTTTTTATTTTTACGTGAAGTGTCCCTTTAAAAATAAATAGCTTATATCTGTGAAAAACTGTTAAGCAGTGACTGCCAGATATAACAGTGTTTGCAATCATCTTTTTAAAGACCGCAAACAAAGACATGTTTGTATCAGCACAGAGTTGTGTTGTGTATGAGTATGCATAGATGGAAGAGAGAGAAAGAGCTTGAACAAATACACAAAAACACTGCAGTGTTGCAAGAAAACTGTCAGAATTCACAGTGATGCATTCATATTTCATCCCAGCCTGTGTTCCTGCTGTTCCCTGAGCTGGCAGTGGACCTGTTACTGAGCCCAAAATCAGCCTACCAGTTTCTATCTCTGTAGGGAAATCTGTTTAACAACCTATTGGTTTCTTTCCCTCTCTCCAAGGAATTCTGTCTTTCATCCCATGAAGCCTTAGCTGCTTGTAGGCAGAGCTTGAAATGCAGCCTTTGCATCTATATTTAGTATTTACTGTAAGCACAAGTAATGTTAATGAGCAGTGTAATGAACTGCCCACATGGCTCTCCTCTGTTTTTAAAGAGTTGATGTTCTGTTATTACAGATCAGTTCATTTATCCTTATTGGCAAAAGAAAGGGTAGGCTAACTGAAACCATTTAGTAGGCTATTTTCATTCATTGAAATAACACATTTAAATATGAACTTTCTATGAACTGAAAACAGGCTACTTCTCTTTCTGCCTTACTGGATTGCATGGTTCGTTTAAAACTTAGTCATCATAAAACAACAAAACAGCCTGATTTAGCCTACGTAATCTACGCGTAAGTGCTTGAGTTCACGGTAGTGCAAAATAGCGATTAGTCACACAGCGGGAGAAAATATTGATTTTTGACAGTCGAGTCAACAGGTATGGAGTGTAACCCCTGTCTTCCCACACAAAGTTTGGTTTGCGGCGCGTTATGACATTTATTGCTGCGCGCGCACGGGCACATGGAAGTGTTCATTCGACAGCTGGATGAGCTGGGCTGTTTTCTGCGGAGAAAGACCTGTTACTCAGTTCATGCAGCTTGTTGAATAGCGTGCCAGTGATGCGGATGTGATCTTGTGGCGTTTGGAATACCGTATCGCCTTTAAATACATAATTCTAGCTATAATCAACGTTATGGCGCGAGACCGAGTCCAACATCGCGTGCTTCAGTACCAGCAAACTCTGGTGAGTATTTCTGGCCAACGTGATTGTTTTTTGTTTGTTTGTTTTTTCGCGAAACGAATGACCTTAGAGGGACTTAGAAATATGATTGTGTAAAACTGTGGATTTATTCAAGTTATGAATTAAATTTTCCATTGAATTGCTTAAGTAGAGGATAATACAGGCTAAGTTGAATGGCTGGAATGTAATCACAATCAACAATTAAAATTGTTTAAGGCCAGGAGTGTAAAATACTGTCTGTTGCTGAACATTTGTATCAAACATAGGACATATGCCTTTTCCAGCTAATTATCAACTGTATATTGATAGGCTATAGGTGGTAGAATAATTCTGTGGAGTCCACAATAACATTTGAAGCAACTAATAGCATCATTTGCATTGAGTTCTAACAGGTTTCAAGTTTAAGGGCATCATCAAAGTCCTCCCTTCATTTCACTTCATCCCCTCAGTGCCCCTCCTCCTGCTCTCGCTCTTGTGGACTAAATGTAGATCCATCCACTCTGCATATTAATTGACTCATGCACCAGTTTCCCCCCCATCTCTGTCACATGATGATTGACAGCTGAACCCTGGAGCACTTGACAGGGATGTCTCTATATTCAGGCAGATGTGAAGAGGAGGAGAACTGTAGAAGGACACGTTCAAACGGTTGGTATGGGGTACAGTCTTCTCATTCTGCACCAAAATCCCCTGCTTCACCCCTCCCACTAACATCCATCTATCTATCTGAGCAAGTTTTTTTGCACTGTTATGACAAATGTGTTTGCATAATGAAGGTAGGCGTGAAGTGGCCACACTCGGATCCATGTGTTGCGTTCGTGTCTTGTCTTTTTGAGTTCAGGCTATTTCTGAGCAGCCTTTCTCCCTGCAGGGCCAGACGATGTGTTCCACAGCATCTATGTGTGTGATGAATGAAACTGGGACATTTTTTTCTGGCCCTGCTTTCCTTATCAGCGAGAGGATCAATACAGCGCTATACAAAATGGTGGCTGGAGACTCACGGTTTCATTGCCTCCCTCAACACCTTTTTCCTCTTTGACCAGGGGTTGGACCCCATTCTGATTGATATCTTTATCATTGACTGTCCTCACGATGTGCTTCGCTGCATTGCCAGACTCTTGGCCAAAGGAGGATTAGTCTGTGATGAGTGTTTTTCCATTCCATATTTGTTTTTCTTTCAGTAGAGGCACAAGCTCACTCTATATTTTCTTTTTTTTCCCTTTTTGTTTAAATGCTCAAATCTGGCAGGTACTGTCAGTTTTAAGAAATCTTGCTCAGTGATTCATGTTTGCACTGAAACTCATGATTGCACTGGCGATATTAACTCCACAAAGAGCCTTTTAAATGGTCTTGCAAGTAAGGGCATCACAAGGGCAGTAAGTCTGCTCTTTAGTGGCCTTTTGTATCTTGCAGCTCTCGATTGCACATACCCACACTATTTGT